ATATTATATAGGCCTATCTGGGTAAAGGATGGGTAAAATTCTATGAAAAATAGATTTATCAAAAGGTGTATACAATTTATTAATTATGTACAATTTATTGATTATATTTTGAAAATAAACTCTATAATTCTTCGTCTTTAATATACAATTTATAGTTTTGTTTAAAAGAATAAAATGAATCAGACTTTCAAAGGTCGTCAGGAAGGCTGTAAAATAAGGTAGGGGCAACAACGCTAAAATGCTCTTCCTTCTATAGCATTCAAGTTTTGGCTTGGTAATAGTTTAACCTTTAGATGACTAGAATACTAGATCAATTCTAGTACAATATTTCACTTGTTTATTCAGGCCCCGAAACCTCGAGTATTAAACTTTTCTTAGGCCTAGATTAAGATTTTCTTTTTTTGGTTAAAAATTATACTTAATTATTTTATTATTTAAAAACATTATATGTTAAAAGCTTTGCTTTCATTGTAATTCATTACATCTCATTTTTATATTTTCATTTATTGTTGATACTTTAAATTTTCTATAACCATACATGTGAATATGAATGTGACTGTGAAGTAATTCAAAAGCGAAACTAAACAATTAAACATTTAATGTATATTAAAACGGCTGTTTTTAATATTATGTTTGTCGTCTGGTACGTTATATTACTGCACAAAAAGCAAGAATTTACTGAATAATTAAAACTGCTAAGAATAATTCAGTGAATTTCGTCCAAAATCTAAGTTTACTCTTTTTTTTAAATCTCACACAGGTCTCTTGCGATGCACACAGCAGCTGATCATTGAGGCTGACACAGACTTGAAAATAGGGCATGTGCAATATATTGTTGTATAAGGATGATTATGAATAATTCGTCGTGAGATTTTACCAAACTATCGTACGTTAAAAAATTGCGCTCAGGGAGAGATTTTTATAGACCACCAACTTCAGGCCACCATGGTTGGGACTGAGGAAATGTTGTGATTATTGCACCTTTAGATTGCTGGAAACCAGAATTACATTTGTTTACAATTTTCATTTTTCTCTCCATTATGTTTTTTACTTTCAAAAATTTGGAGGGAACGGCTGGGACCTCCATCGAATCTGCCACTCATTTTCCAAGTGGCGAAACTAGGTTCGGATGGGCCTTTTTTCGAGAGTACAGTCATCGCACAGGTTAAGAATGCTATATATAGAAGAATAACGACCAAATCAAAATTTGTTTTTAAAATAATATGAAAGACAGTGAATTGCGAAAATGATAGAAAAATAAATTGTTCAAAATTTCTTATCATTTCCATAATTTTGTGAAATGAGATGCTTATCTTCCATGAATAAATAAACTGCAAGAAACACGAACACATTATATAATGCAATATGAATAACAATTACTATAGGTCTATTATATTTATACAAGTTGACGGATGTTGTTAAATACCTATAAAAACAGATTCTACATTCAAGAACACTTTATTGTCCATTTTAAAATAGGAATTTGTTTTTCATTTGCAACAGTCTTGGTTAAAAAGGATAAAATTACATAAACAATCACAAGACAGAACAACTTGGCAATGACGAGAAATACGTTAAGATATTAACAAGTTAAAATAGTAAAGAGTCAAAATAAAAATCACTGTTTAAAACTGTTTACTATGTGTACCTCAGAAACAGACCGGTCATTTGAGGCATGTTGTGGCAAAATGGCTAAGTTGTAGCAAAATTGAAATTCAAGTTATTGGTATTTTCAAATACCTGAGTATGTGATCTTTAAAATGAGGGGTCATTCATTCAAATTGGACATTTCAAACCTAAGTTATTGGAAAGTGAAAGTACAGTACTCTTAGAGTCAAGATAAACAGGATTTTGAGTAATTGCCTTTCAAAGTTATTTGTGCATACATTGTTTAATATATTGAACTATGAACAATAACATTAAATAAACAATTTGTTAACCACTTCCAGAACTAATACTTTGAGACATGATTAATAAGACATTAAACTGTTGACCTATAGTGAAAAACAATTTTGGATTTTTAGCAATTTTTTGAGCTCCCATATTTTATAGCTCATTTACTCAATACTGGACTGTGCGACAACTTTACCATTTCGCCACAACATGCCTCATTTTAGCAAAGATTGAAACTATAAAAACCTATCATTTTGCTATAAAATGATGACAGTATGCTAATTAAACATGTGTTATGTATACACAGGGTACAGTATGCTTATTCTTCCATGAATAAATAAAGTGCAAGAAACACAAGCATAATTAGGCCTATATTATATATTATTATTTTAGTAAGAGAATTAGGAATAACATGGTGTACTTACTGTGATACCTTAAATTTAAGTAAAGTGTCTTGCCCAAGGACACGGGCGAGCGTCGGTCTCGAACTCCGTGTTCCTACAGTAATGTATACTGAGCACTCACGAACCGTTTTATAAAATCTGAAATGGGAATTTCCAGTTCGTCTTGTCTAATATGGTTATACAGGATATCAACTTGTTACAAGACGGGTTTTCATTTTACTAACCTCATCTCTTTTGAAATAACTTTTTTTTCTATGTCTATAGAAACGGTTTGTGGTAATTATTATTATTATTATTATTATTATTATTATTATTATTATTATTATTATTATTATTATTATATATTATGTTTGTCGTACACCACTTAGATAGTTCTGTAAAGAACTGTTGTTGGATGAAAATATCTCGAAGTTTCGATTGAGTTGCTTCAATGGTCTTCAGGAAAATAATATCTGCAGACATTCCAAACAAGGAAATAGGTTTGTGGTAGTGAGACTTGCTGCTGATTGGTTGATATTATTATTATAGTATAATGGATGAATTGAAGGTTTCCAACATAAGGCACCAGTAGTTTGATTAATAGGTCCATGTTTTAACAAATGTTCTTTAAGGATCTGTTTTTCCTATTTATAAATCTTATTTATTTGTATTGTATAAAAGCAAATCCAGTATTTGTCTGTAGACAATCTGGAATTTGTAAGATATAGTGAGTATCTATACTGATATCAATTTCCATGTTTATTTATCTTTAATAATTTTTATTTCACTAACATTAAAAGGAATGCTCAGGAAGTACTTGACACATCATCATCAATGTGAGCTTTCATACTACCTTATGGTAAATCTTCATCATCCACACTTTTTTTTTCTGTTTCTAGGCTAGGCTCAACGTTTTAATTGAATTTTTGAGTGTTTTTTTTTTTTGTTTTTTGTTTTCTGAGGCAACATCATCTTTATAAATGAAACTGAAATACGCTCCATTGAGTTTATAGAGCATATTCAGATTCATGTCATTTCATTTTATCTAAATTTTTTAAATGCAAAAACTTGGCAATATTTATAAGAGTACACAAACGAACTGACATCGGCTCCTGTACCCACCAACAACCTAAGTGGGCTTTTGGGCCCCGGCCTCATGCCAACAAGGCCGTATCCAGAAATATCATTATGTACAAGAGCGTGCAAAGATAGAGGGATCAGTGGGCAGAGTCCGTTGATCGCAGCATCGTTGTTTACTATGGCAACATAGCTATGTCCAAATACAGGCCTAACGATTAATTACTGGTTCAAATGTAAAGATTTAAGATTCCATCAATATAAAGGAAGTCAATATATATAAAGTATAACAGATTTTATATTCAGTACATTGCGGGAATTCGACCTCGACGCTTCAGCCAATTTTGAGTCACGTATTTACCTATAAAGTTTGGCACGCCCTCATAAACTTTTCGACGCATGGTGTCGAAAATAAGTTTCACCATCGGATCACACCTTACTACAATAGGGTCATTTTCGATAGCGTATAACTCTTTTGCAGAAAGAAATGTCAGACGAACATGCTGCAATACTTCGTAGATTTGCTCTGGTGTTTCAGTACGCGAGCTATCAAACTCCAACCATCTTTTGGCTGCTACAAATATCTTTTGCTCACTGTCCCCAATTTCATCTTTCTGGAGAAGCATGACGACGGTAGTCTTTGATAACTTCTGCCACTCACAACTCTCAATGAAACTAGAGAAATTTACACTGATCCAATGTAAGACACATTTCAACCCAGGATGCATTGAAGTATCAGCTGCAAAGGCATTGCACATCGCGGCAGCTTCTGGTGCTGTTAGTTTCCCTTGTTGGTAGCGCTCCGATACAAATTTATGAAGGAATTTACAAAGACATTGTTTGAGACGTTTAAAGTTGTACTTCTCAGCAATCTGGTATACAGACATGATGTTCTCAATATGTAGACGGATTTGTCCGGTGTAGAGGAACTCGAGGATTAGTGCGAAGACATCACTGTCCACTTCATGCAGTTCAACTTCTCGCTGACTTGCTTCATGCCAGTCACTTTTCATTAGCATAGTCTCAAAAACATCGCTATCAGAAACCAGTACTATCTTGTGTGCATCAAATACCCGGTCACCAACCTTTAGAAAGATATATTGGTTGTATTGTTTATTTAACCATAGTATGAGGGTAAAAAAAATTAGAAGATAATGATCACTTCAGACCCTCAAACGTAAAATGCCTACATCAACGTATAATACGACGATTCTACGGCAGACATCAGTGATTGTCAGTGATAAAACAAATGGGGTGTGGGGTTGTTTGTGTAGCAAAATTATAGTTATATACACTCTAAAGCTGCGAACGTCTACCGATACCACCCCATACCCTCCCCCTCCCACCCACACCAACTTCACAAAGATAATTATTTGCTTTTCTATCCTCAGCTAGGCCTACCAGTATTCGGTTATCATGAGGGGTTTTAAACAATACAAGTGTCATGCAAGTCATACTATGACAGGGAACCCTCTCAGAGCATTTAATGTTCCACATTACATAACCTGTGCACATTACATTGTAGTAGTGTCGTGAATTCTTGAATTATGTATGGTTAACTTTAGGCAGTGCTTTCCAAAATTTTAGACTGAACTCTGGATTTCAAAATAGGCCTACCTTTAGTTTAATATCACTGAGTTCCTTGTTATCAAAATAACGCCTCATCGATGTGCCCATTTTTACTAAAATCGAATCGGTTTGTGTTTTGTTTTTCTCTCTAGGGCTGTGTGGATTGTCACTATTCTGTGAATGTAATGTAATTCAATAAACAATTAGTATAATTGTTTTGCATACATTTGTGAAGTATTAGTGTCCTAATGAGCTATATTCTTTTATTTGCCGTTGGGTCATGTGCATTATAAGAACGTATCGGTTCTCTCACTGGAATTGTTTTTGTATCAATTTATTTCAGTGGAAAGTCGAATAAAATTTAAAAAATAGTGATAAGAATGCCAGATGTAATGTGCTATCGTTACAGTTTAGGGACATACACCATTTAAAAACAAGGACATTGGGAGGGAGACCATAACAAGTTCCCGAATCCGCAATGTTCTAAAATCATGTGGCTACGCGAACAAGTCTTTAACTAACAGTAATTAACAACATCAAATGAAATTCATTTAGCAAGTAAACAAAACAGCAAACGAAAATGAATGTTTCACCAGGGAACAGTGAAATTACTCACTGTTACCTGGTTTAACGAACCTCTGACTGAGCAATCCTTCCATCTCCAAAGAATAAACGTATATGTCTCTGCAAATAATTGTTGATGCGATCGGAGTGATACATATATCCTAGAGTTCCATCATCGTATTCCTCGTTAAAATACATCTTTATTTAACAAAATTGTTGATCGTAGCAAATCTGGAATTTGTAAAGTACCATGTGTGAGGCCTATTTATACAGAAATCATCGTAGCATAAATTTAAAATATACAAAGTGACCTGGAGGCATTTATTATCAATAACATTCTACTTCGGTGAGTTAAGAACGCCAATATCATAAAGCATAACATTTATCTTAGAAAATTTACTCATGCACTTTGAACTCACACAACAATCTTAAAAAAGCGCTGGAATTAAACATAATGGTGGCAAGTTAGACGACTGCCTACTGTAGGTAGCTTTCCACTTCCCTGAATTTTGCTCCCAGACAGGACTCGAGCCCGGTTTACGTGATCTGATACATTGTTAAATTTACTCCATTATCATGTAGCCATGCATGTTTTTATTCTATAGTATAGCTCTAAGGCCTACCTGATCAGTTGGTAATGTCGAACTATGAATATTAGAGTGAAGCTGTATTAACGTTTATGTTTGGAATATTACAAGCTTTCTTGCGCTTCCGTTTCTGTTTGGGAATTTCCAACAAACCGAAACAATCACGTGTACGTATTGGATTCCCTGGTGGAAGTCTGCATTATATCTGGTCCATATTGCACACGGAACCACGGCTTAAATGCAATGGCGTATCGAATATTGAGGCCCGGGACGAAAATGTGTTGGGGTTGAAACATGTTCGGGGTGGGGGCATAAATGTCCGTAAAGTATTCGATAACCTAAGAACATAATAAATATAAAGTCAGTTTCTGGAGAAAAAAAATATGTTGTATAAACTGACTTTTCTAAGAAAAAAAAAGTTGTTTGACGAAAAACTCATAATGAGATACTTTTAAATATTTAGAAACTGGGGTTAAAAAACATAAAAAAAGAGTGGTTACGCCCCTTTTTCCCCAGTTTTTAAATATTCAAAAATCTATATCTCATTAACCGTTCCCCAGTTTTTTGTCAAAAAATGTTTTATGTCTTAGAAAAGTCATGAGTGAATACCTATTCTTAAAATAGTGAAAAATTACTAAAATTCACTCTGAATAGAGTAAAATCTCACTCTTTCTAATTCACTCTATCAAGAGTGGTCCATGTTGGCTCTCTTTCACTCTTTTGCATTTAGAGAGTACATGCTCTGGTTAATTATTTTCTTCATGAACATTCTTGTATAGCATTAAAGTATATGTCTTTTCATCACCACAGTGTCATATACGTCGGTTTACTATTTGATTTACACATAATTACCTGTGCAGCTGTCGACTATAGCTACTTACACTAGACACGATTGCGACACGACAACGACACGATACAGATCGTTGTCGTGTCGTTATCGCGTCTAGTGGAATTCTAGCTTTATAGTATTACAGCGAAATTTGTTTGAATGTTTTGCGATGTGATGTAGCACCTCCCTTTTCTTGCTTCCGTTTCTGGTTGGGAATTTCCAACAAATCAAAACTACACACACAACATCCCCTTTTAATTTAGATAAAGTAGTACGCCAACATAACACATACATATATATACACATATATACATATAATATTATACATATATTATGTGTGTGCGTATATAGGGAGAATCCAGGGAACTCAAACCCACTTCAGCATGCACCAAGGTTCAAGACTGAGTACAGTATAAAACAATGATGTAGCATTTTCGAAAATTGCTCTTCAATACGGTGTTAAATGGTTTCCGGTTTTTAAAGGGTCATACATTGACAGTATTTTGATTCTCAACCTTTTAAAAAAATTTTTTTATGAAATTCCTAAATTTAATGAGCGTTTTTTTTTTTCAAAAGTGGTTGACTATTTTTTTTTTTTTTTGTGCAAAAAGCAACGTAAAGCTCCGCAACCCTTTCCGGGTCCTAGGAGGATGGGAATGTACTGGCAGAGATTATCCCGGCTACATCTTGAGGATGGAAGTTATTGTTTATCTAGATACAGAAGCAGTGGTGGCGCCAGGACCTGCCTGACGGAGGGGCTAAAGGCCCTTACGGGGGGCCCTTACGGGGGGGGGGGGCTAGTGGAGCGAATCGAGTCTCACTTGGCTTGGGGGCCTGGGGCCGCCTAGGGCCCTCGGTAGGGGTCTAGAGGGGCAAAGCCCCCTGGAAGCCACGGGTATTTGATGAATTATAACGCAAGAAAAAAGAGTATGCAATGTAACCATCTAATTTATTTTCAAATCCTCATTCTTGAATGTGAAATTCTATATTTTGGAAATTTTGCATTAAATCTGTCAACCACACTGTCATGGTCGAGGTTGCTTCACCTATCACGATGTATTCCAACCATCATGAGGCTATCTAAATGAGCATTTGTCATAACAGAACGCAAATTATTTTTAAATAGTCTCATTGAATTATTATTATTATTATTATTATTATTATTATTATTATTATTATTATTATTATTATTATTGTTATTATTATTGTTATTGTTGTGACAAAAAGTTAACACAAACAATATGGGGGCTAAACGAATATTACATGTAAATATTTTATTTATTTGTTTGTTCCCCGACAAAATATATCGTCTTCCCCGAAAGGGGGGGGGGGCTAAGCTTCCCCGACGGGGGGCTTAGCCCCAGCCCCTCTGGCGCCACCATTGTACAGAAGGTATTCATGAAATATCTATTAGAATACCATTGAGAGCAATTGCCTTGAACAAATAAATAATAATAAATAATTGATTGGTTTAATTTAATTTTGTTCTATTTCTGTTACATTTTCTTTATATAAAAAGTACCAGTTTCTAATTAATTTTCTTAACTTATAAGCAGTCCCTACTAATAAAAAAATAAAAATAAATAAAAACGAAAATGAAAATGTCCCTATCATTTTATTTAATCGATTGAATATAATGACATGTAAATACATATATTTCTTTTCTCCTGGCGGAGGACAGCTTTCCCCCAACAGGTGTCCTGGCATCACCCCTTGAGCAGTCATTCCAAAGAGTGCATACCACTGCCCTGTGCTTGAATACTGAAAAATGTGCAGGTCGTTTATGATGGGCGACTATATTATTAAATCCGACAGGGAACAGTTAAACCATGTGCCTGAATACCGAACAATATGCAGGCTGTGTATGACGGGCATTATAATATTTTCTTTAATATTATCAAGTGCTTAAAAACGAATTTACGTGACTTTGACCTTGTCCTTTGTATTTAACCTTTTCAATCTTATGCCTAATTCTATTTTGGTTGGTAAAGCTAAAATTAGTAGTTAAGATATTACATTTATAAATTAAAACTTGATAAACGGCCATTGAATACTGTATCTTATTTTTTACTCTTCATCAGTAAAAAAACAATTTGCCAAAGATTTGATACTAGACGCAGGGTTCCCGGAACGCCGCCCTCAGCGGCGAGTGCGAAGCACAACCCAGGCTCAAAAGTGGAACGTGAAATTTGGATATGGTTTTGTAGTCAGATTTGCGAGAAAAACTTCAGCTACCCGTATTTCTCGACTTAGACGTCAGTGGGAGCTGTAATTTGTATGGCAAGGAGTTTGTGCAACCCTTCATTCGTATTAAGGGAATTTACGCCCATAAACTTTGTAGTTATTAATATTTTGGTTATAATAGAAAATATTCATTTTTTGGTGACGTCACACTCACATTAGTTAGCATGCATACGTCATAAGCTAGATACGTTACCTTTTCCTGGTAAGGCAAACTGTCCCGGTGGCGATTTTTTTTCCGTACGAAACATTTACATGAAACTCCACTCGGGCCGTCTCGGCTGAATCGACCCGAAAATCTCATTGCAGAATTCAGTAGGTCAAAAAGTCATCAACAGATAAACGTCTACAGAACAACTTCTGGGAGAACGTCGCTGTCTGATTTTTAAAAATACATTGATGTTACCATGTTAATACCAATGGGTCGTTTAAAATGACATATAATATTTGATTAAGCTGCACGAGTAATGAAAATTGTTATTTTAACTTGAGTTACATATTATGACAATTTTAATTTTTTAGTTAGGCCTGGGTTTTGCATAATTACCTAAGCCTACTAAAAACGCTTTCTGGGAAAAGCAAAAAGAGTAAGGAAAAGCGCGTTTTTCTTCATCAGTGATCAAATGAAACAGAATGACAGTTATTTTCAAATTAAGAGAAGAGCTGAGAATAGGCAGCTCTAAAATACTGGATGACATAAGACCTGCCAAAATGGCAGAGCACCAAATGAATGTAAAAATGAGCTAGTTATTAATATTGGGCATAGTAATCGGCAGGTTCTTGATTACAAGGCTAGACCAAGGTAATTAAATGTAATGCCGAAATGATAATAATAATAATAATAATGATTATTATTATTATTATTATTATTATTATTATTATTATTATTATTATTATTATTATTATTATTATTATTATTACCTGTACGTTAAGGGGAACTTAGACAATGGGGAAATAACACAAAAGATATTCCCCTTGGGCTAGTTATTACTTAATTATAGGCCTTGAAATAGTATCTGTGGTTCTTCATTACAAGTAGGCCAAGGTAATTAATTCTGAAATGATTATTATTATTAATTAATTATTATTATTACCTGTACCTTAAGGGGAACTTAGACAATGGAGGAATTAGAGGACAATTAAAAAAACCACGTTAAGGGGAAATAACACAAAAGATATTCCCCTTGGGCGATTATTATTTATAGGCCTAGTAAATAGTACATTATCTGTAGGTTCTTCATTACAAGGATAGGCCAAAGGTAATTAATGCTGAAATTATTATTATTATTATTATTATTATTATTATTATTATTATTATTATTATTATTATTATTATTATTATTATTATTATTATTATTATTTAACATTAATTACATTACAATGATAGTTTGGACAAAAGTTCAATAACGCCGGAATGGTATATTATTTATTTAATATTTCTCTTATGCGCTCTATTTTTCATTTCATGCTTCAATTTTGTCCCATTTTCCCCCCAAAATTTCAGTCCATGTCAGTATGTGAAGCGTGACTGTTGTGTCAGCCTATGACCCTAGGCCTGTTTAAGGAGGGGCCTGGTAAGAACTCAGCTTGTAGTTAGGCCTATAGTTTATCCTCTTTCTCTCTAGCCTTTGGTATAACTGTACCTATCTACACTTTATAACAGGAGGTACTAGCTGTTGTTGTTGTTGTAGATAATATATTAACACTTAATAACATCCAAGAAGGTCACAGTTAGTTACACAGTGACGTACATCACATAAGTCCGTGAATTCATAGGCCTACCATCGGTAAACATAGAAAGAGCAATACTGTAATAGTAAAACTCGAGCGGCACGACATTGCGAAGTGTCTGCTCTTGTTCCTCGTATCGTACTCACTCGAGTCAATCCGAGATGGCCCGAGTGAAGTTTCAAGCAAATGTTTCGTACGGGGAAAAAAAATCGCTTTCCCGGTGGCGTCTTACTGCTTTTTTCATGAATAAACAAACGCCACTGCTTTGCACATGGATGCCTTGCCCAAGCCAGGGCTACAAGAGCCGCATTGTTAGCATTGTATAATACTTAAACAAGGTACCTCTGCAAATGAATTATTCTTAGTTATTTTTTTTTTCTTATTTTAATTTATTTCTTTCGAAAGTGTACTCTCTATCGCATATAATTCCACTGTCTTAGTTAGGCCTAGGCCTAGTCTTATGCCTCATCGTCCCCCGCTACACAGTACATCAGCAGCCCCTCCCCCAAACAGTACAGACGTTTGCTAGGTAACAACGTGATTGCACCTTCCTTCCCAGGTGTTCATGTAACATTGACATAATTGTTAGCTAACTAGTTGTGTGTATTTCTTTGTGAAAATGAGTACCGCGGCGTACTCATTTTCACAAAGCATTGCATCCCCTCTTGGAAAGAGGGATTCGAAATAATTGTCTCCATATCTTTGCTAATTGAATTAATCACCGTAATTTAGCTTACACTTATGAATTTAGGGAGCACTTAAAATGTGAAATAATCATTTCACTACCCGACAAACTGAACTTTATTCATTCATTAGGCCTAATATTATTATAGTTTCATATTGCTGTACTATATACTCCATCATCACTGGTGCATGGTAACAACCAACTGACTGCAGACCATTTCCGGTCACACATTACTCTCCATAACACAGCACCCCCTAGTTCCGTCACCTCTGGATTTTTGTATTGATTGGGCTTGGACAAAACTAACACTTGTTTATTGGTATAATATTGCACAAAATTAACTGAAAAGGTATTGTTGAATATGAAGAGCACAAACCTATACCACTCCACTAAAAACAGTTAAAATAATAGTACAACAGAAGCAATAGAAAGTTAACAATGTACTTTATTGAATTACCAATAAACCACTGAAATCTAACACAACCTTCCTTATTGTGTAAGAAACAAATATGTGTATTAATTCTGGTTGAGAAAAACAATCCAACGTGAGTATTGTAAATTTCTATGCAGATTCAATCAAATTTAAAGTTTTAACATCAGTATACTGACACTTTTTCCAAAGGTTTGGCGAGAGGATATTACATGAAATTAATTAGCACAAAACGACATGTGTGGTGTTAGGTAGTAGTAGTTTAAATATACAGTGATAAGAAATGGTGAACAGCACTACAAACTTTATAATAAATGTTCGTTCACACACAGAGAACTTCTTCAGGTGAATGTCACAAGAAGTTGTTCACTCTGTGAATAGAAGCTTATACTGAACAAACTTTCCTGCACACAGTAACTAAAATTCTTCAAGACAATTCATCTGAACAGCTTCTCTGTTAAAAAAAAAGGTTTATAATTCCCTTAGAAGTTTGCTGTTACTGTGTGTATATAACTATCTACCTTGTCACATCACAAAAACCTTAAGATTTTCATCACTTTTGTTGTCTACAGTTCATGTGATTCAGAAAATTTTATATATACAGTTATAGCCTATATTAAGAGTGTTTATCTGTAGAGATGGTCTGCCTGAATATTTGCTGCAATTTCTGCTTCCCATTTATCGCCATTATCCAGCAACTTCTCTTTATTGTACAGAAGTTCCTCATGTGTTTCAGTTGAGAATTCAAAATTAGGCCCCTGTGAAAAAAAAGGTTGGATTTAGTCAAAAGAATGTTATGATAGTAATGATAGTAATTTATTTATTTATTTAATCACTTGGCATCATTGCTTGGGAGACACGAGCAGGAAACACACTGTCGCCAGAAGAATGTGAGACTCCTTCAAACTATACAATAACAATAAATTTAGTGAACTAAAACAGAATAAAAGGAACAATTGAGTATTATGAAAAAATGAGATTTACAATGAAAAAGATTAAATGTAAGAAATCCAACAAATTATTTCTATTTTTATTTTGACGAACTTAATGTAATAAATGATATTTTAAAATTCATTCTAAATGGATGAAAAGTTTGGGAAGGGAAGCTGCACAAAATCTCTCTGCCAATTTGTTCCAAAACAAACACTTTTATTCTATCATGTCCAACTTATAATTTAACAATAAGGTTACATTTAAATAGCACATAATAAGCTTGTAATATGTAAAATAAACAGTACTTTCATGCTTTTTCCCCTCCCCAGCTTTTTAATATAATTGTCTGTATGTTTCTTCTAACACTTTTTAAAAAAAAATATTTTCATGTGGAAATGAATTTTTAAAAATAGATACATTGAATAAAACCCCTTACCTCCACTATAGCATCAACCGGACATGCTTCTTGGCAGAATCCACAATATATACACTTTGTCATGTCAATGTCATAACGAGTCGTTCTCCTGCTACCATCTGCCCTCTCTTCAGCTTCAATTGTAATAGCCTTCAAAAAGAAAAAAAAAAACAAGTAGAAGCAACAACAAATATTAATAGAGAAACAAGAGAATCTAAAAAGAGCAATCAACTTTCACTAGTATTAAACCAACCCTTTTGCTTACACAGCAATATACATCATTAAGGAAGAAAGGCTGTGTAAGTACTTTGTAGGCCTATGTAGGGCTATGTGCACCTACTAGTAGTAGTGATTAAATGAATTTTTATTCTTTTATTATATTCTATTACATATACATACAGTATACAGCATTACCAGAAGATGGTTTAGAGTTTATCTCTATATCTTGATTTATTAATTAAAAAAAAGTATTTTTTCGGTGATCCCACCTTGTCCTAATACTTAAGAAAGGACTACTGCTGTTCAACTACAGTATGCATGCGTTAGAGTGTGAGAAATAAGTTGCTTTATTCAGATTTGAATTTGCAATGAGGCAGAATAGACAGCAGAAGGTCCTGTGTTTGAATCGTGGTTGAAGGAAGAAACTTTTTGTTTCACACTGTTTCACACAGGCTATAAATACCGGTATATAATGAAATTAATGAATCATCACACCTGAGCAGGACAGATAGCTTCACATAGTTTACACGCAATGCACCTCTCCTCTCCTGATGGGTATCTTCGCAGGGCATGCTCTCCTCGAAAACGTGGACTCAGAGGTCCTTTCTCAAATGGGTAATTGATTGTGGCAGGCTCTCGGAAGAGGTAACTTAACGTCATTGCAAGACCTGTAATAGAATAAGTTGGTAAAGAAAGCTTAATTTGGAATACACAGCTAAATTTGTAGAAGCAGTTTGGCGCAGTGGTTGCTTCTCAACCATGAGGACGAAGGTTCACACCCTTGCTGTGCATTTTGTTTATCTCCTGGACAAGGAACTTGAGTACTGTACCTAAAGTTGTCTCTCTCCACCCAGGAGTAGAAGTGAGTACCTGGTAGGTTCAAACACAAAATGCACTAATTACAGTTGCAACATTATGGAATTTTCCCCAGTGAGCTGAGTATATGTTCCATATGTTTTTGATCAAATGACTGGGGTTAAAAATGTAAAGCGTTTAGAGGCCTTGTAGGTATGAAATGCTAATTAAGTCGAAGGTCTAATATATTATTGTTATTATTATTATTATTATTATTATTATTATTATTAGGCAAACTGTTTGCTAAGAAAATAAATTTTAATTAAGGAAGGGACCACAATAAATGTTTCAAAGAAGACCACATTTCAAATTAATTATAAATTTCAAAGCCTTCCATAATTTTAGCCATTTTGTCAGCATTTTACCAATCAAACTGTATGGAGGTGGGTGATGGTTGACAATTAATCCTAGAATTAAGCCTAGGCCAATAGGTGCAAAATAAAAGACTGCCGTTCTAGACTTCCAAATTTCACTTTGCTTGTGCAACACAACAAGCAACATAACAATATTTTGTTGGCCTTATTTAGATGTAGAGAAAAAAACTGACATCGCATATTTACCATTCTTAAATGCAAAAACAAAAATTCCACAAACTCACCCCTGAAGATTTCACCGAGAAACAGTGTACGAGCCGCACGATCTGTCACATCTCTCATATCTTGACTTGCTTCTACTGCATTCACATATTCTAAAAAAGAAAAAAAAAGAGAGATGGTTAGAGTTACAAAAACAGAACACAGGGCTTTTAATTCCTCATTGACTACAAATGAGAAATAAAGTTAAACTATGAATTATGAAGTACCTGAGATGCTATCTACAGTAGGGCTACAATTAATGGTACCGGTGAGGGTGAAGTAGAAAGTCCTAACCAGTGTGCTACAGAACTCAGTCTATAAAACTATAAAGGAAATTTTATAGGTTGAGGGTGAAGATGAAATGTTGGTACTCAAGTTAACATTACCAAAACTAGATATGAATAAATATACCAACTAACACAATTAAATTGGTTTTAGAGCAATATAAACATGGATTCAATTAACAAAACAAAACATAAAATCGTGACTATGTACATGTGTTCAGCGATATGTGATTGCAGCAAGACCATGCACGATGCACCACACAAACAGATAGATTTGGGGAATTTGCATTTACAACCACTGATCTTTACTATAATAGCTGGATTGCTCATCGGCCAATTCTTGTACAGAAAAAGGCGAGGCCACCGACGCCATGTTGAAGGGCCCACACTAAATAAACGTTTAGGTAAGTTTCTTTTGGCATTTGTTTAAATTATTGTTAAAAATAACGATTCTTGCAATACTTTTAAATAATAAATTTAAATATAACGTAACAATTTTTTCAAAATCATCTAACCACCTGTTTATGCAGTTTACAAAATCGTTATCACTAAAAACGTAAATAACCTTCGCTTGCGCTTTTTAAAATTGTATAAACAGTCTCTTCAAGTGCTTATATAATTTGAAAAATTATCAAATTTAAATTTATTATTAAAAAGTATTGCAAGAATCTTTATTTTTAACAATAATTTAAATAAATGCCAAAAGACAGTTGTCGAAATAGATACATCACTTAAGCCCTCCAATATGGCGTCAGTGGCCTCAATAAAAACAGCCAATGAATTCAAGGCAAAAAATTCACTCACTTCGCGAAGTCAGAAAAACTTTGTTTGATGACGAGGTCAAAGACTACGTCATCTGTATTTTCGGGTCATATGGAAAAAGTAAATACGAACTCTGCAGGCAAAACAATAGAGGGCTGGGCAGACATTCCAGTTGCTGGCAGAAAATTATATCACGCTCTCAATGGCGGATAGTCAAGTACCTACATAGTGCAATCTACCCTTGCAATAAGTTTAAATCAATTTACTGTAGGCCTATTATACTTTCTAGAAATGATATGATAGTAAATGTAGCTAAATTAAAACTCACTGTAACAGTTCTTAGGCACTGTAACACTAAGTGCTCGGGATGCTGTCCAGAAGACATGACTTCTTCCTGATGAGATACAAGATTTTGAATAAAGTAAAACAAGTTTTGAAATATGGACATTTTGGAGAATCTTCAATATCACAAAATTAGAAATACAGATGTACTGAGAAGGATAAATACAAAAGGGTCACTAATCAAAATAATAAAAAGAAAAAAACTGGAATAACTTGGCCGTCTGCTCAGAAAAGAGGCACTTCAAAAAACATTATTGGGAGGGAAGTTGGAAGGAAGTGGGGGCAGAGGTAGACAAAGGACTATGTGGATAGATAACACCAAAGAATGGTGTGGGATGCGGTATTGTAAAGGGGAATGGAAATCCATGGTAGGCATGACACCAACAGGTAACAGGTAATACAAAATTATTAATCATCAAAATATAAGAATTTCCAGCAATAAGAAGTATCAATATATGCCAAATTTTAGTCTTTTTGCCTAAACAAAATAATACAGTATGTACTTCCAAATTATAAATATATTATACTGTATGTTTACTTTATTTACAGTAATTGTAATTATTATTATTACAATTTTATATTTACCTAGCTTTAGACCTGTGTACTGTATAAACTGTTTAATGTTAAGTTTCACAATTATTTCAAGAATAAGAAAGGATTATAATACAATATAAAAACAAGAGGACCCACTAGTGAGTTGGCCAAGGCCCTTGAATTCTTTTTTTTTTAAAATTATTCTGACCCTTGCAAAATATCAAATAATTATAATTAAGTAGTAAGTAATAATACAGTAATAACCATTGATACTATCATCATATACCTGTACTGTAGGCAGCGCTAATGCACCTACCTTTTAATTCTAAATTTTTTTACCTCAATGTTCTTCACAGTCACGACATATAATTAACAAACGTGTTCACATGATTCAACCACTCACAAAGTACCTTTTTCAACAAATAAGCCCGCAAATAAGTACAGCGAATCTGTGCTCTCTAGCACGAGCGGCTGCCATTTTGCAATCAGTAAGAAATTGCCAGAGAATATCCGAGTTTACAGCGCAAGGTTGTTTGATTAAACGTTTATGGAAACTACTTAATTTGCGTTCGCATGTCATTTCAGTTATGCGTTATATTGTGGTGTTGTTGTTTGATTATGATGTGTGTTCACATGAAATTCACATGTACAATAATTAATTAAAAAAAATTATTAATGATCCAAATGCGTACACAGAGGGCCTAATCCAGCAAAACAACTATCAAAGCCAAAGCTAAACAGGGGTGGCGCCAGGACGAGGAGGCAGATTTCCCCGACGACAGCAAAGTGTGTGTGGTCGGGCGTCGCTTCAAATCTTCCGAAAGTGGTCCAGGGGCGAAGCCAACGACAATATTGACAATTTAAGGGTTTCAAAAGCTTATTTAATCAATTTTAGTGTCTACTAGCAGAAAATAGCATATAATTTTTTTTCTCCCCCCGACGAATTGTAGTTTTTCTACCCGACGGGGGAATCCCCCGCCACCCACAGACGCCACCCCTGAATGTTAAACGTCGGTCCGAATATTACCTTGATTACGACAAGAAAATTCAAAAAGGTGGTATCACGTAATAACGATGCCAAATTTTGTTGACGGATTTTTATGGGAAAATTCAGATTCAAAATATACAGTAAATAAGACTGGCCTTTAATTGTTTCAAAATTTAAGAATTGACTTGGACATTCTGGCAATTTCTTACTTGATTGCAAAGCAGCAAAATAGTATGTACAGCTCGACATGCTAGCAAGCGCAGAAACACTTTATCAACCTGTATTGATAAAGGTATGTTTTTTTGTTGAAAAATATACTTTGTGATTAGTTGAATTCCCTGGCCACGTTGAATCATGTAAAAATGTTTTATATTTATGTGTTGTGACTGTGAGAAGAACACCGAGTTAAAAAAATTGAGATTTAAAAGTTAGGTGCGAAAGTGCATTAGCGCCCATATGGGCTAGGCCTAGCCTTCCTAGGGCCAGGCCTAGAAGAATGAATCGTTTTTCCAATTAATTTGTGACCACAAAATGCGAATTCGGCAAGCACTCTCGCCTCACATCCTAGTTTTGCGTTTTTTGTACGGGCATAGGCTTCGGCTAGTAAGTCTAGCTAGGCCTAGGCCTACCACTATAGACACCACGGAGGCCTCCTCGCAGGATAGAGCAGCACCAACACTGCACTGCAGGCTTAGGCCTAGCTACTTAGCCTAGAGATAGGGCCTAGGGCCTAGGCAGTGTTGTTATGCATTTTCATTAACAAATACTATATGTGCATGGAAAATATAGGAAAAAATAAAGAAAAACAATCAGTACTAGGCCTTGGCCTATACAAACAACGAACCTAAGCCAAATCTGGAAACCTCCGAGCACAGACGTTTTAACGCCATTTTGATTTTGAGCCCGATAAGATCTTTGACCCATGACATGACATGACATTTTGGGGCTTCCTTCTGTAAATTTTCTTGAAAACGCGCGAAAGCTTGAGTTTTAAATTGGATCCTGGTGTTGGGAATTAAACAGCAGTTTGTATTTCGACGTTTAACACTCAAAATGATGGCAGGTCATAATTCTGAGCATATAGAAGTAATTACTAAGAAACTTAAGGTTGATAAAGACAGCTTAATTGAAACTAAATGTGTTAATCATCAAGAAGAAAGCGAATTCCAGTTCAGTAAGCACACGACGTTGGACGATATGTAAGTAAGCCATGGCCCTCAGGTGGGTTCAGGCCTACGCCTAGTAGTAGCAGTAAGCCCTACTAGGCCTAGGCTGTACTATTTCCAGTCCTCTAGCGGCGGCGCACAGTGGGTCAAGGCGAAATCAAAGTGTGCCAAAAGTTTTGGTGACTAGGCCTATGGCTTTTACACTTTTTTTTTCACATGATTGAAGATGGGTATACCCTGGTGAATCTATCCTGAAAATATTTTACATTTAAACGTATTTTAAGGTTAGTATTTTTCAACAAATGTCGGAAATTTCTCTATAAATATTTCAAATGCTATAATTTACTACATTATATCAAAACACGTTTTTTTTTCTAACAAACAATTTGGAATTACTTCAAAATGTACACGTTTCTTGTATATACATACGGGAACACAAATGTATGTTTTGGTTGACATTTGAAGTTTGCATCAATAATAAGTCGTTGTTTAAACGACAGAAAAAATATTTAAAAATCTATTTTTAGAAAAGTAGGAGAGAAAGTTTAGATTCATGTGGATTCATGCTTTAATTTTTACATCACCATCTTCAGTATAGCCTTACATGTAGCTTTATGATGGTACCAAATTTAGCTGCTACTTTTGCAACTTTCCGAGCTACAGTAGACGCACATTTATTAGTCTTGTTTTCGTACATTTGAGACAATTTGATTAGAGCAAATCAGAGGGATGTACGCGCGTCTACTCAACCAGTTCATGCAAAGTGTGGGAAAAGCTCTCCAAAAATTTACAAACTGCTCGTGATTTAACAGTAGCAAATCATCTAATATTGTGTTGCTGTTTAGAATACTTTATTACATTTTGAGCAGCCTAATAATAATCCAAATATCATAATGAAGATGATATCTACAAGCAGGCCTATATCTAGGCATCAGTTGTTGCTGCGAAGCAGCCAATTCATATTCTTGACAGCAGTTTGACCTCTGAAAGTTCATTGTTTGTCAAAAATCAAGGGCCTAAGACGACTGAAAAGCGGAGTTTCCTTCTTTCGTTCTGCCGGGTAAAATCAATTACTTTAGGCGACGTTTGTAGACTAACCAACACGTACCAAGGTCCGCATGTCGGGCTAGCCTTATCCTACTCTGTAGGCCTAGACTAGACTACCTAGGATGGTATAGGCCTAGCCTTGAAGGGACGAAGGTCCCATGAAAAACAGCGTCGCTTCTTGATAGCTAACATTGTCTATTTAACATCACAATAATTTATTATTAGACCTATACTGTAGTTGTTTTTTGAATTGTACTCCACAAATCTCAGCCGATACCTCCCACAAACCGAGTAATGTCTCGTATCTATTGTCGTGACGTCGTGGCTCGCTGGCTCACACTTGCGATGCCTTGCACTTGTGATCAAATAACACGCTGGCTCACACTTTGGCAACACTCTTTGGCAGTCAACTCGCCCCTAGAAAACCCGCCCTTGGAAACTTGCCCCATAAAAAAATGTACACTTCCTAGACCATGCAGTCTTCAAAAGGCAAATTGTAACCTTTGGTAATCAACTACATTTTCTACATAGGCCTACATAGAAATTTTTGAAACTTTATTAAAATAAACCTAAACCATAATTCACCACTATAGACACTTTTTGACAAAAATGAAAAATTACGACTTTGTTACCCAATGAGAATTGTTCTAATATAGACAATGGGTCGTGTCTCATATTACTTGTTATATTTTTATTATTCATTATTTTCACTTGACTCGCATAAATAATTTTGTTCGAAGAACATTTATATGCAGTTGTACTTCGCAGCACTTCACTTGCAATTTGCAATTTCTAGTACTGTAAAATATTTTAAGGATATTTATTACTCATACTGACAACATAATCGCAGCCAAACTTTTTTGCTGCCCAAACTCTCCTACACCGAACCAAGACCTACTGTAGGCTAGGATCTCTAACATTAACAGCGACCCACTGTAGCCTTGCAGCATTCATACTTTTTTTTATGAGAAATTTATTTATTCCCCTTCTTGCTTGATTTTTTTATACAGTACTTGGAGGCTTTTGATGACAAGATAAAGCTATGCAACTTTGAACATAATAAAAAAAAATCTTGTTTTGTTTTTTCAGCCGTGAACTTCAAAATACATTCGCTAGAGAAAGAAATTGGGACCAGTTTCATCAACCCAGGAACCTCCTACTTGCAATGGTACAGTGCTTCGGCTATTTTATGGACTTGGAGATTGCTTATAGAACAATACTGTGCTAGGCCTACTATTAGATAGAACATAGTCGTGACTGATTGATAATGGAAGGAATAGACTTTCCCCTTACAATCTGACCCCCACAAACTTGTCCCGTACAAACTCGTTTCCTACAAACTCGTCCCCCAACTAAAAACTTCCCCCTACAAACTTTCCCCTTAACAGACTCACCCTTAACAAACCTGTCCCCTAATAAACTCGCCTTCCAACTATACAGTCACACTCTAACAAACTTGCCTCCTACAGTAAAGTCAGTCTCATGTGGAAACGCAAAACTCAATTAGTATTGTTCACCTACAGTAGGAACAACGCCTCTCAGTTCCCTTAAAGAATTATATGCTGTACTCTGTCTCTACCTTTGTAATGTAGCGCTAATGCCTTGATATATGTTATTCAATTCAACCGATGAAGTGTTGTTCGGTGGTGTATGAGACTACTGCCCTTAAAAAAATATATAAATTACCTGTATCTGCACAAAAGTCGAATGGCCGAGCGGTTAGCAGGGGCGCTGCAAGCTATAGCCGTAATATCGGCGCTGGTTTGAACGGCACGTTTCATGGAGATCGGCATCCTTCTGTTGAATTTCCTTGCAAACACTTGATATTCAGGAGTCCCAAGTCTCCCTGAAGTCATGGAACTTGCATGGAAATCGCGACAGCCTCCTGCACTCCAGCAACCAAGAAATTCCAGAAAATAACCCTTCTCCCGCAAATTCATATTTACATTTTTTTACAACTTTATTATCAGTTGTCTCACGGAAAGTCATTGCCTATTGGTATCATCACCATGTGCAGCATAATTTAATTAAATATGTTAAAGAAAGCTCATTTAACCGGATCTCCTGGAAGGGATTTCTTTCAAATTGGGACCCCTGGATATTTAAAATTCAAATATTGAATGCAGTCAGACTGTTAATGGTTTCCTATCTTTGAATTATCAAATTGAAATTCTGTTTGAATTGAATGGATTTTAAAAGCAACATACTAAACCACTAACATGCAGGGAGGATAAAACTCGAATTAAGTTTTAAATATGAAGATTTTGTTTTTCATTATTCATTCTGTGTTCATTCCTCATTTTGTTGTGTATTGCTATGATATCAATCAAACAATGAACAAGGATTTTGTATAGCACCAATATCCACAGCAGAATACAATGTTCAGTGGTGCTAATGAAAAAAAAATAATCAGTTTCAGTTCTGTTTGCCCTGCCCTCGTGGAGACAAGCATTTCAAATGATAGCCATTCCTTGCATTTACAGTTACTCTATAAATTACACAGTAATATTTCATTAGATTATACATTTTATTAATTTCATGTTATTTATTGTTTTTGTCTATTATTACTACAATAATAGTATTTGTTTTGTTATTGGTGAAATTGTTATTATTTGAAATGTTATTAATATTATCTATTAGATATAAAGGTCATGTTATCCATGCTTTATTTCAGGTTGGGGAAGTTGGTGAAGTTTCTGAAATATTGTGAGTATATTTAATTTCTATTTTTTTGTATTACAAAATCTGAAGTTCCTCTAGCCTCGGAGATATACAGTATACCGTATTTATAGAATAGACGCCCCATGGCGTTTATTGTTAAGACAGGTTTTTGAGGGGGTGTTTATTCGATGGAGGCATTTTTTGTGTAAAAGTATACTCAAATAAATGTACCTTACAATAATGTCACTGTAAATGTGAAACTACACACAAATACCTTCTCAATCAGCGGCGTAGCTAGGTGCGAAAGGGCCCCAGTGCAATATTAATTGCCAGGCCCTGTGATGTGATATGGGAATTCAAAGTTCTCGGAAAATTCATCATAAGGCTCCCTTCATGTCTACTCCTAAAAGCATAGACTAGTTATAAATACTAATGGTAACCGGTCTCGGTTCTAAACTAATGAAGAAAATTGGTGGCACATAAAATTTAACAATTGCAGTGGCCAGTCAGGGAACTCCGAATAGAGGGGCCAGGGAGGGATTTTCACAGGTGGAGGGTGAAGACCACCTCAGGCCCACCATGGTTGTGGTTGAGGAAAGAAAATTTACAAGTACAGTAGTCCCTCTAGGTGGCCGGAAATGGCACACTCTAACTTTTTTTACATTTCATTTATAATTTTGAAAAATTTAAGGGTGGTGGGGCAGGCCAGCTGGGGTACCCTTGAATACATCACTGATTTGAAATTGATACAGTAGTTAATGATTACTCCTCTAAAAACCAAATATTGTTGAGGAGCCCACTGGTCATTTTATTCTTCAAAAATTATAATTTGGAAGTTGTTTTCAAATTATCAGTTTTACATCTTTATGAGTGTTCCCCTAATAAAACGGTATTTATATTTTATGTTTAAACTGATAATGATAAAGGTTCCATTGAAAGGATGAATCAGTAATTTAAAGTGTTAATTCATTAACAGCTACCAAACCCAGACTTGATACAATGCAAGTACAGTACCGTCCATAAAAAATGCAAATTTTTAGACGCAACAGACGCATCCAGTTTCCATCCTGTTTGCGTCCATGACGCGTCCGTTCAAGGCCTACACCGTCTAAACATTGTTATTTAGACGCACTCGCGTCTACCCGAAATTGTTTATCAATGTCGATCACGTCAAATTAACAATCCCTATTCAAGTCTTGTAGTACACAATGGATACGTACATGTGTCGTTGTTGTAACAGGGAAACCTATAATTCCGTCAGTTACTTTTGTTTTTGAGTCATACATCATTTGAAAACGTCATTTTCCTCCGCTGACTGACGATCAATACAATCAAAATGACAGTAGCCTAGCATACAGATGCAGTCGATTTCTGGCTCGGCAGTTGACGATTTATTTAATATTACAGAAGTACTCACATTCTTAATGTATAATAAAGTACTAACTGCAATATATTATGTTATGATAAATTATACTCCAAGTAGTTGGGCCCTGGCTAGTCCTAGTGTAAAAAATAAGGTATTTCAATGCAGAAACAATCGGTGCAGTACGAATCCATGCTGCCGCCATGGTGTCATGAAAACGTGCTACGGCAAGTTCATAGTTCACCAAACTACATGTTCAGACAGGCCGTCCGATGGGTGAAGCTTGATTGGATTCGTCGAAGTTCTTGAGTTGATGCAAATTGTGAAAAAAGTATCAAGTCCTATAATAATTGTAATGTTTGTTCATTCAGCAGTAATTATACTCCATGTACAGTTGGGCCCTGGCTAGGCCCTAGTGTAAAATATTAAGTATTTTTATGCAGAGACAGTCGGTGCAGTAAGAATCCATGCTGCCGCCGTGGTGTCATGAAAACATGTGCTACGGCGAGTTCATAGTTCACCAAACAACATGTTCAGACAGGACGTCCGATGGGCGAACATCGATTGGATTCATCGAAGTTCTTGAGTTGATGCAAATTTGTGAAAAAAGTAACAAGTCCTATAATAATTGTAATGTTTGGTCATTTCAGCAGTTGAAAATATATGTCGGGTATTATTTGTTATATTGTGTGTATTTAATTATAACAATATATCGGTATTAATACATGTTAAGTCTAAAACGTGCAACAGTCAAGTAATGTTTTTTGTCCAGTGCCTTGCTTGAAGGAAATATCATAGTGCATTGAGAACTGTGGCAGTAGCTATGCTCTATCAGGCATCTGCAAATGATGAGATGCAGATTGAAACAACTTTTATTTTTGTGATATAAAAGAATTCATGTAGAGCATTGAATTGTAGTTTTGAAAAAAACAGTACATTATTTATCTTTAAAGCAAGTTTTTGTAATCTTGAAATCTCTGATGAGGGCAGTATAATAGAGGCAGTAGTGTATATTGACCCTAACAGCTGCCCGTACAAAAAAAAAAGAATGTATTAATAGTACTATAGAGTATATTGGCCCTAACGACCATTTATACAAAAAAAAATTAGTCTATTAATCAATCAGCTAAGTATTCCTATAGCTCGTTATCTGAGCGGAGCTAAAAATAATACAAAATAAATGATGAAAAACCAATCATTTGGGGAATTACCTCACTTATTGCTGTTTCAATCCCACCACATTTTTATTTTACAAGCAACAACACTTTTATAGTCATGATTACACATTGAAATTTTGATCGCACACTGATCACAAACATAAACATTTTATATGGAACACTTGCTGATAGTTCATATTTCTTAATTCATAATTGATGTATGTTTGATGTGAGCCAATCAAAAAAGAAAGATATGGAACACTATAGCTAATGCTTGGGGGCATCATCAGTAGTTTCATTATCGTGTGTTGTATATGCTGCTTGTATTCTTGGGACTTAATTGGATGTTGTTAAAAATAATATTGTTAGCAATAGCAAATTGCACAATAGATGAAGCATCTACAAAGTCTAGTTTTATTGCATGCATTTGCAAACCTCTACAGTAACTTAAAAATTATCGGAATTTATGTCTAGACTTGAAATTGGATTAGATTTGTTTATCTTGCACATGGGCTATTGTATATTGTATGCAGGACTAACACAAGAGAACAGCGATGAAATGGAATCGGGGACCAAGAACACATGATTATATATTTAAATTTCAAATATAACAACCAAAAATATAGCAACAGTAATAAGAATTTGCTATTTTTATACCACAAAACTTCAATGCCCTTTACAGTAAATTTATTTTTTTATTTATTTATTACAAATTCTACATTATTCATTCCGGTGATTGAAACACTCATGGAAACATCATCAGACCCCTTTGGGAGAACTACAGTACTTCATGTGTAGCTTTCAGAAACAATACTTCACATTGGACTATACCGGCTACCCACTTGTACTTCTAAGTGGATTGAGAAAATGTGGATGTGCAATGGAACATTTTTAATGATGACCCGTTTAGACTACTGTACCACCGACAATTAGTAGACGGTGTCGCACCGTAACACTCACATAGAGCGGAGTTTTGCTTTCCTCAACTAAAACGAAATGCACAGTGTAAGACTCAAAACCCTGAACTCAAAGTTAAATGTCTGAGCTCACTGTACAACAGACTGCACCATTCCCTCTCCAATATCCTACTACTACTATTTACTCTAACCAATATATATATATAGAAAAATTAAATATAAATATAAAGTATTGCTGTCTTATCCTGATTTGTTCAAATGTCCAATACTATTTGGAATCAATTTGAACTCTGAAATAATATTACACTTCTTGATATATTGTTCAATATTATTTCAGAGTTCAAATAATATTGAACAATATATCAATATTATTTGAACTCTGAAATAATATTGTTCAATTTTATTTCAGAGTTCAAATAATATTGATATACTGTATTGTTCAATATTATTTGAACTTTGAAATAATATTGAACAATATATCAAGAAGTGTAGAGTGGTGCACGACTTCCACTTTGATGAGAAGTATATTCGGGTACTCTCATCTTCCAAAGTAGTGAAGCTGTGACTTTGTAGATAAGCTTCCTACTGTAATCTTCAGGGTCATGGTTCAAATCATATTTTCACACCAAACTTTATTAAAAACAATATGCCACATGCATCACATAATTTTTTTTTCTCCCAGGAACCTAAAAAATGTGGGTTTTTTATTTTCTTCAAGCATTTAACAAATAGTCATAAATAATTTTATTTTAATTTGAAAAATCAAATGCATTTTACGTAATTTTTAAGTTTGAATCATATTGTTGAATAAATTTATTTTTTCAGTCAATGGAAAGGAGAAGTTAAAGAAGGATTACCAGGTTAGTAAAAAGAAATTTAATAATTTAATTGAATTATTATTTCAATTTCTTTTATAATAATAATAATAATAATACAGGAATTTATACAGTGCCCTTTGCCAAGGGATACAAGGTACAATAAAAAAAATAAAAAGTAGATAACAATGACGATCAGCAGTGTCACCAGACGAAACAAACATCAGACAAAAACAGAAAAATTTAGCCGTTCATCGAGATCTCCTTTATTGCTTTGAAAGCATTCATGGGCCAGTATCCATTAAAAACAATCAGTGGTTGCGCTGTCCCCGAGAAGGGGGGCTAATGCTCCCGACGAAAAAAGTGGGCATGGTCAGGCGCCGCTCAAAATCTCTCGAAAATGTTTTAGGGGGAAAATCCAGAGAAAAATATGACAATTTTGGGGGTTCAAAGGCTTATTTAATCAATTTTAGGGTCTACTAATATGTAGAAAATACATATACATTTTTTTTTTCTCCCCGACGATTTGTGTACGTGTTTCTCCCCAACGGGGCCAGCTCCCCTAGGGGGACCCTGATCCCCGACGAATTGTAGTTTTTTTCCCCGATGGGGCCAGCTCTCCCCGGCCCCTCGCTGGTGCCGCCCCTGTTCACAATATTATACTAAATTCACAAAAAGATGAATTCATTGGAATATTATACAAAATTGGAAGAATAAATAATAATTTATTTTATCTTATTGTACAGTATGAGAATATTAAAATCATGATATCAGTGCTTCTAGAAATTATATTGTGTTTGATTAGTGTACACTATTTAGCATATTACACAAAACATTTTAAAACAATAATTACTTTAATAAATTTTATGTAATTTGTTATTATTGTGTTTTTTCTGAATTCATAGACTGGACAGAGAAAGACAAAAAGCATTTGGAACAAGAATTAAGCGATGTTTTGATATATTTAGTACGATTGGCCGAAAAATGCCATGTAGATTTACCAAAAGCAGCAATAGAAAAGATTGAATTAAACAAACTCAAATACCCAATTAATAAAGTGTATGGATCGAATAAGAAATATACAGAATACCGGTAAAGAAAAGAAAAATTAGTTTTGTACTGAAAATAATATTTATGTAATGAAATGTGACTGCATTGTGGTTTTTAGATTTCTTTATTTTAAGACTACAGTACATCTAATTGTATTTTAAAAACAAGATATGTTTTAATCCAGAAAGTTAATTTGGCTTATTTTTTTGGCTTATTTTTTTTGTATTATTTTTTTGTTTTAATATTAAAATTTGAATGTGTTAAGTTTGGTAACATAATAATTTTTGCTGTGTAACAAGTAATTATGAGTAGCATTTTAACAGATTTCGAACAATTTTCAAGGAATGATACAAAAATTCATTTTATTTATATTTTAACCCTAAAAAGTTGTTTTTTTTTAATGAGCACTCACTCTTGTGTATTTAAATTTGTTCACAATAGATGAAATACTGAAACAATGAACTGTAATATATACTGTTTTGTTTTGTTTTATCATCAGTTGTCATGTGATCTTGCCATCCATTTTTTATGTAATGAACGTTTATGAGTTGATAACATTACTCTACATTCATTCATATTGTAAAAAATGTATAGGCCTAAATATAATTATGTAAGATGATGTTAATAAACATTCTTTTACTAATAATTTACATTATCTGGTATTATTTTAGTGGAATTGTTGTCAATACAGATCCAACATGATACTTAATTGCCGCAAGTCGCTAATTTATTGACTTTACCTTCCTAGTGTTAGATAATTTCGGAGCGCCACCAGCGTCTGTTTTTGTTACGTTGTTGAATGTGGATGGTACTAGTATAGTACGGAACGACATTGGTGCAAAGTAATAATTTGAAACGCCACCGGCACAGTGGGAACGGTTTGGTTTTCCAACATGGAGGTTGGGCTTTCAATCCCTTGCTGTGCATTTCGCATGTGTCCTTGGGAAGGCATTTTACCTGCATTGCTTCTCTCCACACAGGAGTATAAATGGATACCTGGTAGGGTTACCACCAGCAACATGTGGACCCAATGACCAGGGGAAATAACTGCGCTTAATAACCTCAATGAAGAGGTGCATTATAAATGCCCATACCAGTACCAGATTGGTGCCAAAATCAATTTATTTTAAATAATTTTCACAGATTTAGGGACTGGAACACAGTCTAACCACATGAGTAGAGAGTACTAAAATACTGTACTCTTCTCAAAAGGGCTTTTAAACTCTTGCGTACATACGTATGTGTTTACGCTATCAATGGTGTACACTGCATCATAGCCAATTGATGTAGAACTCGGGATGTTTACGTTATTTTACAGGCAAAATTGTTCAAGTTGATGTGAGAAAGATGAGGGGGCATGGCCAATTTAAAAGGGTACAAATAATTACAATAAAATGATGGGTCCACTGTGGTCCAATTAGGGCTTAATATAAATAAACATCTTTGATCTTTTCTCTGTTATCCCTGTAATTTGTTTTGTTTCTGTCTCTTTTTCGCCGTCGTATATCGTTCTTGTTCTCCTTTTCAATGTTTGATTGTCTTTTTATATGATTGTCTTTTAATATAATATGTAAATCCCAAGCAATTCAGTTTTTCTGTGATTTGTTACCGTAAAACATCAAACTGAAGCCCTGGACTTTTTTTGCAAACTTTAGATGGGCTTTATTTCGAAGCTAATTTTACAAAATAAGGTGGGGTGGGAGCTTCTTTTTCAAAATGAGTGCTGTGAATTTGTACTATAAAACAATAAATACGGCCACTGTAACATCAGTCTGTATAATTGATTAAATCACCTAAACTACTATATAAGCCAAGCTTGTTTTAATTTTTTTTTTTTTTTTTGAAATTCATAGTGTATATACTGTATTATCTTGAAAAGTAGCCTATGCTCTCTTGAAAAGAAGCCCATCCCATGGGCTTTTTTTCAAGTCTAATTTTGCAAACTAAAGAGGGAGACATTATTTCGAGATGGGCTTCATCTCGAATTCTATTCAATTCGAGGTTTTACGGTATATTTTGAAATAAATGAATAAATTAATAATTGCCAGTAAGGCGAAAAGATATACTTGCTTTTTTTCCGAATGTTTATCGACAACAGTTGACCAATATAATTTAATGACCTCGACACGAAGAGGCAAAGGGCCTGTTTCTACTGACAAAATACAAAAGTACGGTATTCAGTGAAACCGGTTTTCATAATTGTTTATAAACAAAGACCGCATTGCAGTTTATAACACGAACAGAAACCGGTTTCTCCTAAGAAGGTCGTTGTGCAATGACGTCATTTTTAGCCACAGCGAGTTCGTTAGGCGAACTAGCTAGCCGGCTAACCTCCCCCTCATCTTTTCCTTTCCCCCCCCCCCCCCCCCCCCCACAGATTAATCACTAGTCTCGTGATGGCGTCGGTCCAAATTACGCCCGACATTACTGGTACGTTTGCTAAATCAAAAAATTTAAATACACACTTCGCGCCAAGATGAGAGTTGTTTATCTTCCGGGTACCATTTAACAGCTTGCTAGGTCAGGTCAACTTGTGGTCAAACTGAGACCGCTATTGCGTTGCAGCAAAAATTGCTCGGTGAATACGGGTTTGAGTACGGTATTCGGCGATCGAGACCAGATTCAATTGGGGTTTTCAAAACCGGTATTTGAATTCGGGTTTTATTTTATGGGACCCATTTCCACTGACAAGAAAATACGGATCTTTGAGAATACTGGTCTTGAAACCGGAAACAGAAACAGGCCCAAACCCAACCAATGTTGATTTCAATGACAGAGTTGAACACTTAAGCCTAGCGCACAACTGCGTCTGATGGTGTCCAATGCGATCATTTATCCCAAGACCTTGGGATATTTTATTAAATTTTCATTAAATCTTGGGATTTTTGGAATAATATGGTATTTTTAATTTTTTCTAACAAGAAGTGAACAAATAGTTTGCTGCCAGTTGTTAAGTTGTGAATGAGGGTTGTTTATATATAGGCCTATGTTTAAAAATAAGACGAATTGGAAGTGTGTAGTTTGAAGGTTGTTGTTTAGATATATAAAATCATTTAATCGGTTATTGCTGCCAAATTGATATAGCCTCGATTATCTTGCATCATGTGAAATTGGGACCCAATTAAAAATGTAATACTGCACGCCTACACTTCGATGGTTACATGTTAAGAATACGTACTGGACACTACCTTGATGTACAGTATAACATGTTTCAGTAACATAACATACACTGAGGACTATGGTGAACCTATTTCGATTAAAATGTTAAAGTGATTATATAAGAATTAGGTGAGTCACTGTCCAATAAAATAATTCGCGAAAGAGGAGTATTCAAATATTAGGACTACTGTATTAATATGGGATTGATCAGATGGCTGACGCCGTTCTCCATCGACAATTGATTTTATGTGCATTATTTATGTACAATTCTTATCTATATACACAAAAGAATCTTTACACTCACAATTTCATCTGAAAAAAAATTATCAACGACGACAGAATGACGGTGTTCCACATCTAATAACAAATTATCTGTTTGAAGAGCGATCGTATCTGAACAATAATGATGCATCAACAGGCCTGGTCAACTTGTAAAAATTCAGTTGTTTGCCCATAGATCAAATTTGGGAGCGTTATATATACAGTGTAGGCCTACGATTTTAAAACATTGTCATCGTAATGAAACAGCTGTAATATTGAAAAAAAGAGCCTGAAACAAAGTCAGTGTACGAACTCAAATAAATATTTAAATATACAGTATTTCAATGGTCCATTTTTTTTAATCAAATTTTACGACCAATTTTTACATGCATTTGTGAGTGATAGTGTGTAATAGACATGCAAACAAACATTAGCGGTTAGCTGCAAATATCTTTGAATATCATTTTAGACTGATTCATTCTCATGCTTGGTCATCTTGTGATCAGAAACGATTGTTGGAGGCGTTTTAATTTCAACACTTTCTAATAATACGGTCCGTATATCTACACTTCTAGTGGTAGTATCAATTTTGCTGGCCATTCTCCCCCCCCCCCATTTGAATCCGCCACTCTGCGAAAGAAACTGTTTTCCCCATATTTCTTATTTAAACACTCCCATGCAATACTGTAGGCCCCTAGTTTATCACAATTAGACACTCTGTAAAGATCGATTATGCCCTTTTATATAATATCTTTGTATTCCTATAGGGCTAATGTGTGTGAAGTTCTAACTTTGTTAATATCGAATGGGTGAAATTATATTTTGGTATATTTTATTCGAACAAGCAAGACCATACATGACAGCCAGAGCTGAATTGCGTATGAATTTACAATTAAAATCGTCAATAATTATTGAACATCAAAAATCAAAAAGCAGATACAAGACAGATAAAACTTTCATAAATAACAACATTAAGTATACAATAAAAGAGGATGCAGCAGGCGTGTTGTCTTGGCATATATATATACTGTCTCTTATACACATCTAGATGTGTATAAGAGACAGTCCCAAGACCAAATTTCTGGATCCCCCACTGCCATAGCTATATACTTTACTATATAATATGATATATGTACTGTCCTGTAGCATTCTGAGGGATTATTATAGGGCACTATATTCTTCTTATCGAGTCCATACACGAGTTCATCACGAGTTCATGATCTGTTGAGCTATGTTAAAAAATATTATTATTATTATTATTATTATTATTATTATTATTATTGTTATTGTTATTATTATTGTTATTGTTATTATTATTATTGTTATTATTATTATTATTATTATTATTGTTGTTGTTATTATTATTATTGTTATTATTATTATTATTAATATTATTATTATTATTATTATTATTATTATTATTATTATTATTATTATTATATAGGGTGACGATTATTTTTTTTAGCTTAATCTTATATCCAAATGCTCAATACCACAGCTATGAGAAATGACAATATATGTCGACTTAATAACAGTGGTGGATTCAAGCCCCCACCCGCTCAACCTTAAATTTTCCAAACTATTAAAAAAATGAAAATTTTATTCAAATTTAAGTTTGAGCGTTTCCATTTTCCGCAAGCTAGAGGTGCCGTGATCATAAATTTTCTTACAAAATCCCAAAACATGGTGAGTCTAGGCCCGCCCTCTGTAAAAGTCCCTCCCTGGGCCGGTCTCTATAGTATTTCTAATTCCCGGATCCACCACTGCATTACCGTGAGGATTTTCTATTTAGCATAATCGTATCCACATGTCCAATACCATGCTTTATTAAATATTTCAGACGAGAAACCCAATATAAATCGCAGTGGCGGATTCAACAGGAGCGAAGCGAGCACTGTGGGGGTGGGGCAGGAAGCCGCCACGGGCTCCCGGTCGGGGTTCATGGGCCGGGGGCCCCGGGAAAAATTTGCTGATTTTCCATTGTATACACCAATTTTAATAATGTTCTGTAGTAGTAATCTAATACATATTTTACATTACAATTTGTTTTGTGTTCCAAAAATCCGGCCCGAATTCACCAAACGCTGCGAAATCGCTGAAAATCGGCTGTTTTTGAGCAGTTTTTTTAAACATATCTTCGTTAATATTATTAGGCCGATTTTTTGTCTGTTTTTGCAACGTGTTCCTTATTTATTCAGCTATAATGTCATGTTATTTTTAATTTTAAAATCAATGAGGTGTCGTCGGAATCTTTTTTTTAAGCGAAGTCTGTTGGTGATCGCCCAGTGTATTAACTCCTATCTATTTACAGAATTTTGCGATCGTGTTTACAAAAATCACTCTCACTTCTGAACGAGTCGGCCGATTTTAACGGCTGTTTCGGTACGTAAAAATAGACTAATTAAGCTGTCTGTTAAGCTAAAAATCAATATGATTGGATGATAGGTCTCGTCGGAACGCCCATTTCTTTAGAGAAATTGACATGATCTGACACGACTAATGGTAAAGAATAGGCGGCAGTTAGACATTCCCGAAAAGCTCGTACTGGTGTAAGGTTGATAGATAAACAGCAGTTTCTCAGCTAATACTTGCTTAAAATTCACCATTTTTGTATGAAAGAGAAGAGAAGTCTTTTCTGATTTGTAATATGTAAACATAGTTAGTCTTATAAGTTTAGTTTTTTTTGTTACGAGCAGTTTAAAATGTCCAGTTTTTTTTCGAAACCAGGAGCGTGATTTAGCCGTCTTGATGGACTCGACCATTATACATGTAGGTAAAGGCGGTCAAGCGTCTTGGCTAAGATGGTCTCCTTGACTTCCAATTTGTATTTCCAGTGTTTTTATTGATGTTACCATTAAATATATATCAGATATCGTGACAGACCAAAAAATGTGTTATTATAATTTTACAAATAATGATTATGTGCCTATCATTCACCTCTAAGTAAAGTGGTACGGTCAAGCTTTTTTGACTGGGCTACACTATGTTGCGGAGAGATTAAGATTGAGTGATAAGAACTCTACGCACTGAAATTAAATAGGTTCAAAAAACAAAACAAATTGTAATGAAAATATTTTTTTTATAAAAATATGTCAAGTTGACATACAGTAACATCAGCAAGGCTATGATGAAGCAAAACAATAAAAACACTTTGAATTCAAAACAGGCAGGTTTATTCAAGAGAAAGAAATGTTACTCACAGCATTGTTATTACTTTAGTATTTTGCCTTTTGACATTGACAAAAATCTAAGATTAGACCTATGAACGAAAGTAATATGGTACACTTCCAATCAATACATGCAGGCGCGGATCCAGACCTTCGCACCGTTCGATATGGCAAAAGTCGGGTGAGAGATAAAATGATATTTAAAAACAATATAAAGGGATTGCAGTGCCTGGTGGTCTGGCAAATTCTAACTGTTTCCGTCAGAAATGCCACCTACCTCAACCAAAGAAAAAAACATAGGCAAAATTGCAATATATTTCTGCATTGCCTGACTACTGTATTAATTAAAAGGGACTGTAATTAAATCGGCTGCACGATGTTGAGTTGAGTTGAGTTTTTTGTTTATTTTATTTTGATTTATATGTCACTATGTATGGTTAATCAAAAAACAATCAAATGGATAATATACATGTGTGTTGATTCTTAAAACCTTATTGGAAGGCATATATAATTTCATTATATTTTGTTATTTTAAAATCACAAAAGACAATTATGCATATTTAATTAATATCTTGGTGGAAATAAAATCACACCAATCAAGTTTGGTTTTGGTCAGAGTACAATTGTTGAAAGAATTGCATTATTCTGCTTTCTTTAAAGAATAAATTATATTATGACCAAAACATTATATGAATTTTAAACGTTAATATTATTAACTAAGACCAATCAACACATAACATAAAACATGTACATATCAAAGTTATGTTTAAACTTTGCTCTTCGGTGCATGCATACAATGTAATTTCCTGAAATCTGGATAGCTGAGATTGACAGTCAATCAAAATTCTCTGTACTATCTATGCTAATTTAACGAGTGGATTTCCTTATGATTTAAGGAAATATAAAATTTAGAAGGTCAGGAGTTTAAAAGTTAAAAGAGAGGACTTCCTTATGTTATGGTCATATTAGACTATAAGATCGTTAAATACCATTCAACAAACAACATAAAACTTATCAAAATTATTAGGTTAAACTTTCCCATTCGGTGCATGTATATAACGTAATTTTTGGGATATATGATATTTACATGACATTTGAGAATGTACTGAGTTCAAAATCTTAAATATTTTACATTTTAATCAGTAATCTAGCAGAAATACCGGTATTGGTTATACAGCACTTTAAATCCTTCGGAACCTCTGCAACACTAAAACTGCGATCCAACAGGCAGTGAATATTCCATTTTGATTTAGTGTAGATGTTATTTACATGTTTTTATTTTATTTGTATTCTTTTTATTTTTGTATGATTCATTTGTTATATTTTCCACAACAGATAAATGAATGCCTGAACTGATATTTTATGGTTTCATATTACTTTCTATACAAAAGAGAAATCATAAATCATATAGCTATTGTCCGACCGTGTGCATTGAACATTGTACGATAATGTCACCAAATTTCCAACCCTAACTCAGGCTACGGGCCTCGCTTGACTCTTTACATCAAAGGACCTATTAATTAATTTTGCTTCCTCCTCCTCATCATCATCTTCTTCATCATCATTATTATTAATTGCCCATAGTAAAGTAGGAAAAAACTATTAATTTAGAATGTATTCAATAATAGACGTCTCATAATGTACGAAAGTGTATTTCAAATCATCTAGAAATCACGTAGTACTAACATGAGTTACACATTTAAATAATCACGTCAGCGTTGATAATATCGTCGGCGCTTCCGTATTCTTTCCGGAAACCCTACGCTGTTACAAGCGCTACCTACTTATCGAGTATTCTGAAAATGTTGTGCTCCCCCCCCCCACCCCCACCAACGCAACCTTCCTCCGTTGGAAAAATTCTGGATCCGCCCCTGTTTTTCACTTGGGCTGATAGGTAAATATTTTGTATAGTACAGTTTCAGTTCCTGGACCTGGAGGTGAAATTCACCATTTTGCTCACGTCCTTCATAAATCCTTCTTACTCAATATCTTTGTCTATATTGTTGCCTCCATTTCTTTCTTCTACGTAGCAATAATATTATTAGTAATCTTGCTTTCATAAGTAATACATGTCTGATATCCACAGTGGCCATTTTCATTAGCGTCAATGACACAAAAATCAACAAGCGTAATCATATCGCGGATTCCAGTGTAAAATAAATATACCGTAGGGCGAATTTTTCGCGCCGAAAAATCATGTCGGTTTAACATGGACATTTTGGCAGTTAGTGCTTCTCGTCGTGACAATAAAAAAAAAATGGACAGCAGCTGTCCAAGCGTTTTCATTGAAGTCAGGATAATATCGTTTTCATTTTTTCCTCTTCAATGTCGATGTCCATGAAGATGGTTGGGTTTATATAACCTTTAAAAGTGTTTTTGAATTACTGTGGTTCACATAGAGGTGGCCTAGAGTTTCATTTTGGTTGTTGTGTACTCCGCAGCACCTCAAATCTCATTGTGAATCTATTTTTCGATTGCACGTGACTTTCAACTGCAAAATAAAGAAATATTTAGCTAATGTTATTTAATGGTTAATAACAGATTTATGACATACTGTAATATTGCACAATGTTAAAAGTCATAGGCATGCCTACAATTGCAAGCACTGATTTATTAATATATTTATTTTATTTTATTTTATTTATTTATTATCTGAAATTGTTATTTCTGTTGTTCATTTTACCATCATAATCTTGATCATTATCATCATCATATAAATATCATCATTTTTATTTAGAACCAGAAGAAAATTCATTACTTAAGACGAGTAACCAAAAATCTCTAAAATCTAAGCCGGATTTTTTTTTCCAAAAAGGAGCCTAACAAGACCGAATACATGTGTCACAAGTAGTTCTTCTACTTCTGTTTCTTGTCCAATCCCTGACTCATGATGAGGCCGATTAGTCTTCTGATCATGCTTCAGTGAGTTGGGCGTTAGATATTGTCACATAAAAAGTAAGTCCGGTATAAAAGATCCATTAAAGTACAACAAATAATCTATCTGGATCGCCATGGATCTGTCGGAAGGTCAGTTTTTAAAGCTATAAATAATAAATGTACTTTAGCCTAGAGTTTAAACATGGTTACTAGACTATCAACAAATTATTAGTACCGGTAGCCTAATAAAAGACATAACAACGTTACTGCAACAATAATGTTATTAATTGCGAAAAAAGATTAATTGAATAATTATTGTGAAATGTCTGGACTATTAGTTCCTATCATACCTTTAGCTCAAGTGTGACCGTATGATAAATGTCTGGTTTATAGCCATCCAGTGTAGATATATCGTTTCCATGTGTAATGAGGTTCACCAAACACATTGTGTAATCTAAGGAACTACACCTCTCGCACACAGGTCCACATATATAATGTTTTCTAAAGTAGTCCAGGTTGAAATCTCGATTGATTATTTCTTCAATAAAAATAACAATCTTCTGTAGAATGAACATAGTCTGAGTTATTTCTTCACTTATAACTTCAACTTTGATAAGATTTCTATCGTATGAATTAATGTTTCCAGAAATTACTTCTGTACTTATGAAGAAAAGACATGATTTAACGGTCCTGAATGTTGCTACATTGTAGTAGATCGTATCCCAACTAAACACTTCACAACATTTAGCAATGAGACGTAGAAATATAAATTCATGAAGAATTTCACCAAAGTCGAAATAGAAAGTGTCTTTCGAGTGAACATTGCTGTTCTGTTTTGACATTAAACTGAATTTTGGCAGTCGACAAGGGAGAATAAAGGTGCCGACTTGGTCGACTGGATCGATAGCATTAAGCGGGAAAAGTAGATTCGTTCCAACTAAGAAACGAATGATGTAAGGGTAATGTCGCCAAATTTTTTTCTGTCTACAAATGTGTTCCAATAATCTACTGTCAACGATGCCAGTGTCTTTCAATCTCTGAAACAGGTCAGCTACTGTCCGATTTCTTAATTGAGGTTCAGGCACATTAACTAAGATTGTCAAAATGTCTATGATCATTTGAGGGTCACAGATAACGTAATGTCGGAGTGTCTCATCTCGTTCATTGTATATTACATCACCAGATCTGTCAAAGAAGTTCAAGAATTTGCACAACTCATTCTCAGAAATGATATTACATGTTAATTTGACTTCCTCGAAGAGCTCTACTAAACTCATCATAATGTATTTTTGTAGGCGAAACCTGTTCAATATTTCATGAAATAAAAGGTATTTTACTGAATGATTCTCCTGAAAAAAATCCAATTTTTTAATCTCATTATGAATAACTGTTTGTAGCACGCTGCGTTCTTGGTCTACTTGTAACGAATTTTCAATGAAAAATAAAAAGCTGCCTAACGGATGGAATGCAAGTAATCTAGAAAATGGTTTGTATAGATGTGCTTTAGTAAGTTGAGTAAATTGTAAAAGTGCATTATTGTCAACGCTTTCTCGGCTTGTTCCTACAAGAAACACTACAACATTTTTAATGTCTCCATGCATAGCAACTGATTGCAACCAAAATTGTAACCGTTTGATTTGTTTTCCAGGATTCATAACCGCTTTAACGGCGTTGAACACAATTAGATATACACCCTGCTTTGGCATAAATAAATGGTGAGTGTTATAGTATATGTTTTGCCCTGCAAAGTCCCATATACTAAGTCTAGCATCCAAATATGGTTCATTACGAATACCTGCTTCCATTGATTTTCTGATATGCTTTATCGGTATAGAGGTGGTAGTCTTCACTTTCACATAGGAAAACCATTCGTAAACAAAAAAGGCAATGATTGGTGCGAGAAAGAGCAATAAGCTCAACAAATATTGCGGAAAATAATATTGGGTATCTTGTAATTTTGGAGTTAAATCTGTCAATTCCCACCCGAAAAAATATGCCATAAATATACCAGCTCCAAAACCAATACATTTCTTGATAATATACATTTGAGGAATATACCCATAAGCAACAAACTTTCTTCCTAAAAGGATCCCAACTAATAAAACACTCAAAAGTACAAAAATACACGTACATGTATAAAATAGACTTAGAAAATCTGGACCTCCGATAAAGCCTGCTGCTGTAAGACTAACAAAAATGCTTATTAACACAGATATACAGTTTCGTCGACTCATCGAAAATATCTTAACGGCAACATACCTAAATGTCAGAATAGTAATAATTGAAACGATGTAAATTATCAGTTTATAATATGCTTTGCTGTAGATGACTAATATCATTTCTGTAACATTGTCGATGGAAAATGTTTTCTGTTTCGGATGCACCATAATACAAAATGCTAGGCATAATCCAGTTCTACCACCTGTTCCCAAAAGCACGCCAGCAATTAAGGCAAATATTATATGCAACGCTATTGTGAAATTGGGAATGTGGATCCATAGACCCAATTCGATTGCGCTGTCTACAAATGTCATTACGATAGTGTATCCACAACCGAAGCGGTACGCAGTGTGAACATCGGTTATAAACATCAAAGAAATAATACACATCCATGCAACTAGTCCAAATCCGAACATAAACCCACCGTTTAGAAATAAAACTAAAACGGGAATAGTGTGTGTTATCTGACCAAATAAGTCTTTCTTCAGATTTATTAGCGAGGTATTTGGCTTAACTTCTGACTTGCTAACGGGCCTCGAGGTTTCAGTCACACCGTGTTTGCTCACATGTGATACTGCCCACCATGCTGCCGAACATTCAAAGTCTTCTAGTGGAGTGTTTGATATTTCACTCCACTTACCGTTAACATCACTAACTTTTGCTTTTACAGTGTTTGTTTTGATTCCCATTGTGCTGGGCTCGTCATGTCGAAAACTCTTTCCTTGCAAACGTCTACTTGTCGATGTCTTTCCCACACCGTGATCTCCTAAAATTAAGATTTTTGATCTGTTAAAGGGTAGTTTTCCTCTTAATCTTGCTTGTTCATATGCTGCTTCAATCTCCTTATCGTCTGCAAGTACACGGCGATTAAAACTACGTTCATATGAGTAAAAGCCCCGTAGATAGCTCGAAACATGTTCATTCATCTCGACGTAGAACTTTTCTTTCAAATATTGATTTCAAACTAAGATGCTTCACTGGAATGAAAGAAAATATAATCCTAGATATTATTATAGATGTTAACCCGGAAACTTTGAATCTGGTTCGAACTAGTATAAGGAAATTGTGGTCAAAACGGCGTATGTATGCATAAGTATTATTTATTATTATTCAATCTGGTTTCAGTGTGCTATTTATACGTCCCGGAAATGTATATAACAATACTGTGGTTTACTTACGGTACAAAGAATTGCCTTTCACCAATAATACTTATGTATACATTATAGAGTTTCGAACACCATTTCCTTATATAATTTGTTTATACTTGTTCAATAAAGATTAAAACTAAGTTCATATGAGTGGAAGCCCCGTAGATAGCTCGAAACATATTCAAATTCATCTCGACGTAGAAATTCTCTTTCAATTATTAGTTTCAAACTAAGATGCTTCACTGGAATGAAATTAATAATGTTAGATATAATTATAGATGTTAATCAGGAAACTTTGAACCTTATTCCAACAAGTATAAGGAAATGATGGTCGAAACAGCGTATGTAGGCCTATAGGCCTACATTATTATTCAATCTGGTTTCAATGTGTCCTGAAAAGGTAACAATACCCTGGTTTATTTGCGGTACAAATATTTGCTTTTCACTAGTAATGCTTTTGTATACATACACCGTTTCGAACACCATTTCCGTACAGGCCAATGGGCCACGCTCTTCTCTCAAACATAGAAAAAAATGGAAAATTATGAGCTTTAGGTGTTTAAATGTTGCAATTGGGTGTCCAAGCCACAATCGATGCGCCAACCGCTTCTAACAACAGTATCCTTTCATAAACCCCTAATTTCAAAAATAATCAGTAAACCCTGTGCAATAAATAAAAATACATACGTAATAAACTGATAAACAATTAAACACATTTTACATAAATGAGGTCCCATGAAAAATTGTAATTTTTATGATTATTAAGAAAGAATAATACCGGGCAGTATGTTTTTTCCCCATACAGTTCCGGTAGAAATTATAGAGGGTGATATTTTAGGTCAGTTAGGAGAACTTTACCTTAACGTCGACTCCGTCTTAGAAAGCACATCACACAACAGTATCCTTTTATAAACCTCTAATTCCAAAAATATTCAGTAAATCCTGTGCAATAAATAAAAATACATACATAATAAACAGATTAACAATTAAACATATTTTGCATAAATTGTCCCACAAAAAATTGTAATTTTTATGATTATTTAAGAAAGAATAATGCCGGGAACTCACTGCGTCGTACGACAAGTCCAACTCCGCTCCTGTGAACGATAGATGACGTCACGAGGCTAGCATAACAATACGCCATTTGCGTCTCTACAAAACCTATTTACGGAAGCACCTAAGTGCCATTCGACTTGACGACTTGTCAAGATAATTTATGTTGTCAAGTCGACATAATATATATCTGTCTCTTATACACATCTAGATGTGTATAAGAGACAGGTATTTGGCTTAACTTCTGACTTGCTAACGGGCCTCGAGGTTTCAGTCACACCGTGTTTGCTCACATGTGATACTGCCCACCATGCTGCCGAACATTCAAAGTCTTCTAGTGGAGTGTTTGATATTTCACTCCACTTACCGTTAACATCACTAACTTTTGCTTTTACAGTGTTTGTTTTGATTCCCATTGTGCTGGGCTCGTCATGTCGAAAACTCTTTCCTTGCAAACGTCTACTTGTCGATGTTTGTCAAGATAATCTATCTCGCCATGACAACATACAATTTTTATTATGTCGACTTGTCAAGATAACCTATCTTGCCATGACAACATACAACTTATATTATGTCGACTTGACAAGATAATCTATCTCGCTATGACAACATACAATATGTATTATGTCGACTTGTCAGTATAATCTATCTCGCCATGACAACATACAATTTTTACTATGACGACTTGTCAAGATAATCTATCTCGCCATGTCGACATGATATGTATATTATGTCGACTTGACAACATAAATTATCTTGACAGGTCGTCAAGTCGAATGGCACTTAGGTGCTTCCGTACCTATTAGCTAAATGATATGATATATTTTTAATCATACAGCTCTCCGAAAAATCTAAAGCAAAACTAAATACACGTGGGTTTAATAAATAATGAACGTAGTCGTCCATATAAAATAAACTACGCCCTCAATCGGATCAATATTTTTTTAAGAAGCGTAGAGCGACGATTTTTTAACAATTAACTCACACATATTTATAGTTTTTCTTTAGTTTTTCGGAGATTCCTATGACTAAAAATACAACCTCATATATAAGTAATTATAATGTATCAAAATGCATTGTGATACTGTTAATTATTAGCGGATGTATCAATTAGCTAATAGGTTTTGTAGAGACGGATATGGCGTATCGTTATTCCAGCCTCATCGAGGTAAACATCGACGGTGACAAGCGGCTAAAAACTGGTTATAAAATTTGCTTTTTTTTTGTGTTAAATTCCACTTTTTGTTCGACGCAACATCAAGATATGTTCTTTCTAATATATAAAGGATCTATGGTTTAAATTTCCTTGAGGTAGGAGCTTATACCGTGGTGAAGTTTTTTGGACTTACTAACAGATAATAATAATAATAATGGAACTCATTGCCAAATAATATTAAGTCTATTAATATTAATCTAGTATTTAAAAAGAAATTTAAAGAACACCTATCCATAATATAGTTTATTACAGCTTATTAGGCCTAGTTTAAGTTCAATTATTTTTATTTTGTTGATGTTGTTTCTGATGTTAATTGTGAAATTCTATTATAAACTGTCAATTATTTATTTATATGTTATTGTATATGGACCCCAGTGGAAATAATTTTCTTAACTTTATGGGTTATCCATGTCAATCCATTTTATGTTCCTTATTTTTCATGTAACCTTGTCCTTTTAATGAAATTGTATTGTATTTATTTTATGATAATGTAAATTGAGATTTTTTGTGTAAGATGCTAAATAAAACAAATCAAAACAAATACGTGTGTGAATATACTAATTGCTCATTTGCATAATTAATATTTCACTAATCAAGTAATTTAGGCTAGTTAACACCATAACTACAGTTTGGTAAGTCCTAAGTCCGATTGGTTTCAAAGTTTGCAGAATGCAAGATGTTAATAAGAAGATTGATCCTTGGTAGGCCTACATACGTAATTATGCTAGTTGCTTATTTGCATAATTAATATTTCACTAATCAGGTACAGACTAGTTACCGCGATAGATTAGGTTTGGTAAGTTCGATTGGTTTTGAAATTGGCAGTATGTAAATAGTAATAAGAAGCCGGAGCCTATTGTTTTTGGTACATGTGTGAATATACTAATTGCTCATTTGCATAATTAATAGTTCACTAATCAGGTAAGTTATGCTAGTTAACACCATAACTACAGTTTGGTAAGTCCGATTGGTTTCAAAGTTTGCAGAATGCAAGATGTTAATAAGAAGATTGAGCCTTGGTAGGCCTACATACGTAATTATGCTAGTTGATTATTTGCATAATTAATATTTCACTAATCAGGTACTATAGATTAGTTACCGCGATAGATTAGGTTTAGTAAGTTCGATTAGTTTTGAACTTGGCAGTATGTAAATAGTAATAAGAAGCCGGAGCCTATTGTTTTTGGTATTGAATATACTAATTGCCCATTTGCATAACTAATAGTTCACTAATCAGGTAAGTTATGCTAATTAACACCATAACTACAGTTTGGTAAGTCCGATTGGTTTCAAAGTTTGCAGAATGCAAGAAGCCGGAGCCTATTGTTTTTGGTACATGTGTGTGAATATGCTAATTGCTAATTTGCATAATTAATATTTTACTTACCAGATAATTTCAAGACTACCACGGTAACTTAAGTTTTGTAAGCCTGATTGGTATCAAACTTTGCACAATGCAATATGGTAATGAAGAAACCGAGTCTTTTATTTTTTTATGTGTGTGAGTATGCTGATTGCTCATTTTATAATTAATATTTAATTAATCAACTTATAACTTAAGTTTAGTAAGTCTGATTGGTTTCAAACTTTACGGAATGCAAGATAGTAATAAAAATACAGGGCCTAATTTTTTTTGTACATGTGTGATTATGCTAGTTGCATAATTAATATTTCACTAAGGAAATTTACGCCAAATACCATAATAATTTCCATAAAACTTCTAATTTAGTGGAAATTGTAACATTCTTCATGCTGTTGTCATTGCCATAGAAAATTGTTTATTACCACGATAAGAAAAGTTTGGTAAGACTGATTGGTTTCAAATTACTAATTGTATTAGTGTTTGATAGGACTTGAATTTCCTTGTATCTGTGTATCTGTGGTTTAATTAGGCCCACTGCTGTCAAGCTTGGTATCTCATCTGTAAGAATTATTAGCTGGGTTAATCTGTTTACAAAAGTGTTTCATTCTCTTCTATGCTCCATCTTAGCGGTAACTATTTTTCTCCTCTCGACTTGTCTGATTTTTTTTTCTACGACCTGGCTTCATTCACTCGGGCATTTACTTTTGTATAGCTGTATGTGTGTTGCTATTTTTAGCGTATATCCCACCAGCATTGTCAATTAGTAATTTGTAGGCGTTGACTTGATTTATCTTCTTCAGTTATTATCGTACCTGGTAATTAATAAATAAGGAAAGTCTGAACGTTTTATTATTCCATGGATTAATTAGGGCATGATAATCAGTAGTTTCATTATCAAAGAAATTGAAATACGTACTTAACAATCTTAGTCATGTCTAATACCCAGGATGTGCCTTTATTATTATTACTATTAATCGCGAAAGATCCTAATTTATTGGAATATCACAATACAAATTTTAAATTTTATTTTAAAATAAATTGATATTTCTACCTTTGCTTGAAATTTCACTTTCCAGTATTGCAAAACGACGTACCGGTACCTCTTTATAAAGACGGTCTTACCTCTTATGGTTAAGAAATGTAATTAGTTAAAGTGTTTCTATCAAAAAAATTGTGAGGATGTAAGATCCGACCCAATCCATCGCACCATGGAACCTCTGCAATATTTATAAGCACCTAATTTCTAGCAAATTTTGTGGAGGGTAGTATTATATAGTATGCATGGTGCAACGACACTGAGTGTTAGCTCTGTTGTGTCACGCATTGTGATGCGCGTGTCAATCGTTGTAAAGCCTCGAACTTGCGTGTAATTTAACGATAGCCACATTCAAAAGACTAAAATTGCAATATCGTACGCCAATCCTTGTTTTTTTTTTTTTTTTTTTTTTTTGCCATTCTAAACCATAAAACCTTAGATTTTATTCTGGCACTCTGGCCATGGCTGTAGCCAGTCTATTTGTTTGAGCCTCCTGTCGGATTTGTTGGGTTACTGGTTGGAGTTTTATGGAGCATCGCTGCGCCGCTGTCTGATTAATAAATTTATGATAATAACCAAACTTCTCGAAATGGTCAGTGGTATTGTTTCCAGGCCTAACTGATCCTCTTGTCAAATTCCATAACATATAATCTGTCTAGCTAAACTTTGGAGGCGTCAGTTTAGGGGTGGCGGGGGAGGGGGAGCATAGGTTGCAGGTATCCGTTCGGGGAGAGCTGCCCCCTCCTCCACTGTCTGGAACATAAACAGTTCGTGGGGGATGAAAAAAACAATTTTCTGTATACCTTTTACAGATCCCTAACTATTCCCCCGGACTCATCTAAAGTGATCTGGTATGCCCTGCCTCTCCTCACTAATGCTCCCATCTTGAAAATTTTTATTCTTGTCGGGTACATAGTCAAACGGCGAAACAACCCCCCCCCCCCCTCTCCGTTATACTGGTGCCACCACTTTACCTAAATCAGATTACTGTAATTTCCTTTTTTCTATAATACTGTGATGAATAAAATGTGTAGCAGCGTTAATCTGCTTCTATAGAATAATATACAATTGAAAAATTCCAGCACTTTAAGGACTTATTAGCTTTAGCTTTCGTCGAAACAGTGAACTTTATCAGGAGACTGTACAAACGGCTGTCTCTTATACACAT